TACATACTATTACTTACCTTTCACACCTTACTTTTCACCCAACTTTACCTAGTACTTACTACTTAGAAAGTCGCAGTAGAAATCTATTCATTAGCACAACACATCTCACATCCTTTATCTTGCTTATATCTTCACATAAGTTTAGTCTCTCTTATTTCCGCTTACACACGCGCGCTTTCCCGCGCTTCGCGCTAATACGCGCGCGCGTTCCTGCGCCTTCGTACCTTGCGCGCACCTGCGCTTTCTCGCACTTCGCTGAAGCGCGTACCTCTAGATCTCCGCTGCACCTGCTTCCCCTTTAGGGTCGAATGCACTTGCCATCTCAAGTATCGCAGACTAGGCAACGCACGACCTACAACTTTTTAGATACAGTCAGGAGCATTTCTTTGTTCCTCTCAGTATTGTTGTTTCTACAACTGGAGCCCACCGCGAGGGGAGCAGTCAGCAAGATCTAGTTTTGCGCATCTTCACACTTCACGCTATTTAACGCATAAAGGTCAATCTCTTTGCATATTCAAAAGCTAACCAATTTCTAGTCACGCATTCTCGCGCCTTGTGCGCGCGCTTTCCCACGCCTCTGCGCCTCACGCGCGCACCTGTGATACGCCTCGCGCGCGCCTGCGCTTTTTCACGCTGCAATGCCTTATAGAATGCCCATCCGCGGCACAGCAAATGCACCCAAGTTCGATGGCACTACAGACAACCTTGCCGAGTTTATTGACACCTATGAGCAGCTTGCTGATGAAGCAGGACTCCAAGGACTCGACCGCATCAAAGGTATCATCCGCTACCTTGCGCGCGATGATCGAGAACTATGGGGAGGCATGCCAGAAGCGGCAGTAGATAATTACAGCGCCTTTTTAGATGAGGTGAAGGTAATGTATCCTGGATGGGATGGTAAAAGACGCTACGCGCTTGCGGACTTGCGCGCCATCGCGCGCGAATACGCTAACAAACCAATGCCTTCTTGCACAGAACTCAGCAATTACCTGCGCGCATTCAGGAAGGTTATGCAGCCACTCATGGACGAAGACTGTATTGGAAAGGCCGAACGCGACCGCTTATTCATGGAAGGAATCCCTAGCGATGCTCAGGCGCAAATCCGCTTGCGCCTTATGATCAAGTTCCCTGACCACCACCCATACGACCCATATCCATTTATGGACGTCTTTGCAGCTGCGCAGTTCCTATTATCTGGGCGCGCTTTTCCCGCGCCAAGCGCACCAGTAAGCGCACCAATTAGCGCGCCCACTATAGCGCCAAACACGCCAGTTAGCGCACCAGTGGCTAAGTGCCAAGATCGCTATCAAGCGAGTCGCGCAACACAGGATACGACCATTAGCGCTAACGCAACAGCTGGACTCTTCTATTGCGCACCCTCAGAAGCTGTACTTGACAAAAGGCCACCAGTTCCTATTCACGCGCCTCACGCGCGCGCCTTTCCCGCGCCTTCGCGCGAATCACGCGCACCTCAACCATTAACTGCACCAGCATGCAAAGCCATACCAGAATGCACCACTTTAGATCACGAACTCGAGCATGCGCTTGCTAAGCGCAACCAGAAGCACACTGCAGGCGCCTCTTCACCATCATCCTCAGCAGCACCATCTCCTTCACAATCCGCATCATCACCATCACCATCAACCTCGCCAGTAGTCAGGGATGACTATAATCATCTATTGCACACTAACGCGCCAGTTGAAACACGCGTGCCTATCGCTAACGCATCGCGCGCGCCTATCGCTATCGCATCGCGCGAAGTCAGGGATGACTCTAAATATCTATTGCACAGTAACGCGCCCATTGTGGACGTTATTACGCCGTCGCTTGAAACGCGCCCGCCTATCGCATCGCTTAAGGAAGAAACCTCGCCAATCGCACCATCACCATCACCGCATTTGCCATTCGCATCATCAGAGGTCAGGGATGACCCTAAACATCTATTGCACCTTAGCGCACCTATAGAGGAGCCTCCTACCACATCAGAGGCTCAAGTTGCACCTTGCATCAACCAGAGTTTGCCTCTGGTAACTCCAACTGTCACTAATGATCGCGCGCATGTCGCGCTTTTTGCTTCCAGTGACTATCGCGCGCCGGTAAAGCATCCATGCATCATACCACCTAACCACCAAGCAGAGCATGTCTCAGGCGACCCTGGCGCAACTCAGGCGCACCATATTGCGCCTGAGGACGCGCAATGCGCGCGCCTAGAGGTATTGTATATTTACCCTCATCTCATTTCGCGCTTTTTGTCTCTTTCATGTTTAAAGCTCTTAAGGAGCTATATGACCATTCCAAACACTTTAATTTCATCCTTGCACTACCCCTTGTTCACGCGCCATGATCACGTGCATCGCGCAATACGCGCGCGCATTCCCGCGCCTCACGCACTCATAATTTTAGCAGAGTTTTCACGCTATCGCATTTCTATCATTTCTCCCCCTTTAAATCACAAATTTTTCATTCAACTCAAGACATATTCCATTCAGCCATCCAGGCACGACATAGGCGCGCGCCTGACACATACATATGCGCCTAACCCCCCTATCATCATCTTTAACTTTGCAATTTCCACATTTATTCGCATTCTTCATACTTTTGCTTACCATGTCAATTTTGTTCCTGCGCACCTTGATGCGCACTATTCTCCTTCACCTATGCGCCTACTGCGCCTTGATATACCACCCTTACAGCCCATTCACGCAACATTTGCACCTAATTTCATGCTATACATGTCTCTCGCTAATCCATTTTCAGAGAAATGGCCGTTCCTCGCGTGTTCGGCCAATATAATCAAATTCGCGCGAAATCACCCCAAGGCGCGCACATCGCGCGCATCCTATCAGCTTGTAGGGCGCCTCTACACCCCTCACAGCGCCTCCCATTGGCGCGCCTTCAACCTGCAGCGCGTTGTGCAGGAATTCATTCTGCCAGTCACAAGCCCCCCCAAGCGCGCCAGCCTCGCGTATTCCAACCCTACCTTGGGTAAAGCGTTAGCTCGCAAGAGACGCGAAGCGCGCTAGTCACGCGCGCTCGCACGCGCTCAAGGAGGAGGATCGAGCGCTCCAGCGGCGCATCAAAGGAGGAACATATACCAACGCTGTTTCATAGGATATTGTTTGTTTTACCCTGGGTTTCGTCCAGCGCTTTCATTTTCATTTTCTCTCATTATAATGCTGTCCAAAGAACTAATAACACACTGATATATATGCATATAGGAATCACTTAGAAGAACATAGAAGAAAAAACAATCATAGAACGTGCCCGCCTAGCTCAATAGTATATTTTCTCTTCGCATGCATGACGCGGCACCATGCTCCTTTTTACCTTAGAACGCGCACATATGCGCGCAGTCTTCCCACGCTCACACGCACGCGCGCGTGTTCACGCACCTTGCGCGCACATGCGCTTTATGCGCGCGCTTCCCGCGCCTTTCTCATAGGAAGGTGTAGATGTTGACAGCTGCACGAAGAAGACAAGTCGGATAGGACATCCGCAACGTTTACCATTTTCCCTTCATATTTTCACATATAGTTTTACTCATGCTGTTCAAACCTTTAGCAACTAATATTTAGCACGCCTAATAGGACTTGGTTTGGACATGGATTGGATCGCTCCTGGACTGCGCCACTTCGCATCATCCCCACAGAATACAACACATGCGACACTCACGCGCTTTCTCGCGCCTTGCGCGCGCGCACTTTCCCGCGCTTCACACCATATGCGCGCATCTCACCCGCGCCTCGCGTGCCATGTCCATATCACTCTCACATCATCGCCTCACACCCATGGAACACTATTCACCCCAGAGTCACCCTTGCAATTCGCCATGCTATGCTTTATTCCCGCGCCTTCACGCATAGCGCGCGCACATTCTCGCGCCTCGCGCGTACCATGCGCGCAAATTCCCGCGCTTCATGCGCATCCGCGCGACAATTCCTGCACTTGCGCATTCATCACCCCACAACCCAAGCATCATACATGCATTGCACTCGCATACTATCACGCAAAATCCTCACCACGCGCGCGCTGAGTGGGGACACTCAGAATTTAAGTCCCTGGGAGATGTAGAGACTCGTGCGTCTCATAGTGTGATATGGCGCTTTACACTAGGGAGTATACAGCACCAACTCGCAGCATCACTCTGTGTACCATCCACAGTGATTCCTATATGACGCGCAGCTTTCCCGCGCAACGCGCGCCATGCGCGCACCATTCCCGCGCTTCACGATGTATACGCGCCCGCGCGTTCCCGCGCTTGCGCGCCCTATAGCGCCAGCCATCCAGATGCATCCATCCACTGTCCACCAAGCTCCCTAGTGCGTATATTTCCATTTCCTTTATTAGCATAGTGTTCCATCTTTATTTTTATCATGTTTTCTCACTCATATATATATTTACATACCTACTCGGTAGCGCTTCGGCTCCGCATGACCGCGCTTAGGCGCGCTATATAAGCGCCAGCAGTACATACTATTACTTACCTTTCACACCTTACTTTTCACCCAACTTTACCTAGTACTTACTACTTAGAAAGTCGCAGTAGAAATCTATTCATTAGCACAACACATCTCACATCCTTTATCTTGCTTATATCTTCACATAAGTTTAGTCTCTCTTATTTCCGCTTACACACGCGCGCTTTCCCGCGCTTCGCGCTAATACGCGCGCGCGTTCCTGCGCCTTCGTACCTTGCGCGCACCTGCGCTTTCTCGCACTTCGCTGAAGCGCGTACCTCTAGATCTCCGCTGCACCTGCTTCCCCTTTAGGGTCGAATGCACTTGCCATCTCAAGTATCGCAGACTAGGCAACGCACGACCTACAACTTTTTAGATACAGTCAGGAGCATTTCTTTGTTCCTCTCAGTATTGTTGTTTCTACAACGGGACTTTGAACATATAGCGGGATCACTCAATTGGGCCTTAAATGTTTGTCCTCTTTTATGTCCTGGGCTTTCGGCTGTCTATGCCAAAATCAAAGGGAAAACTGACTCTAAAGGAATGGTTTGGCTCAATCGAAGCGTCATCGAAGAACTTCGTTGGGCAGCCTTCCTTTTAGAATGTTCAAGTGGTATCTTTCTTTTAAAGTCGACCGCTTGGAATTACCGACCTCTACCTACGGATGTACTACAGGTCTACTGTGATGCCTCCGGTTCGGGTCTTGGATTCTGGTACCCTTCCCTTAACCTCGGCTTCCAATCTAACCTTCCTGAATGTCCCCTTGTAAAGGATATATTCTTTTACGAGGCTCTTTGCATTGTGTCTGCAATCCATGATGCAGTCACGCGTCTGCCGAAGAATGGACGACTGGCCGTTTTCACTGATAGTCTCAATTCGGTATACCTTTTCAACTCCTTGTCCGGAGGGCCAGGATACAATCGCCTTCTCATGTACGTCGTTGAGGTGATTCTGGCATTTCAAGTTGATTTTCGGGTATTCCACATCTCTGGAGAAAAGAATGTGATAGCTGATAACCTCTCTCGTTGGAGGGCTTTGGATGCCCGCTTAGCTTCACCCGGATTACGGGTACTACCGTTCCAACCCCCTCGGGATACGCTGGGGGCGGTCAAAAAATGATACCTACTTCGGCTAAGACCAAGCAGCCCGTTAGGGCTGCTTGGTCAATGGAGTGTCTCATCTACGAGCACTCTATTAATCTTGGGTTAGCTTTGGACCGATCTACTAATCAGTCATATTCCTCGGCCCTTAATTCCTATGTCACTTTTTGTGACCTTCATCACTTGTCTCTCGATCCTTCCGTCGACACTTTATCACTCTACATCACCTTTATGTCCACCCACATCAATCCCAGATCAGTCAACAACTATCTTTCAGGGATATGTAGCATCCTGGAGGAATTTTATCCTGAAGTCCGTCAAAATCGTCGCGCTCGTCTTGTTTCTCAAACATTACGAGGAGCTAAACACTGTTTTGGAGTCCCAATACGCCGAAAACTTCCTCTTTCTTGCGCTGATCTTGAAACAACTTTGGCGTCGATTCCTCCTCCTCTAAATCACAATGATTTGCTATTCATCGCGCAACTCTTTGATGGTTTTTACAGACTTCTACGCCTCGGAGAGCTGGTATGGCCGGATAACTCTAAAATCCAGTGCTATTCGAAGCTGTCCCTTCAAATGTCAGTGATCATAACCGACACATATCATTTGTTTGTGTTATGATGGCACAAAACGGATTTTCAGTTCAAAGGGAGTACTATCGTTATACAGCGTGCTGATGTAGCTGATCCTCATCATGCTTTCTTATCCTATCTTGCGTCTCGTGACCGTCAATTCCTGTTACAAGTAACATCAGCTACATGGCCCCCCTATCATTTTTCCCCTTCGTCCTCGCCCTTGTATGCCTCTGGCTCGTACTTCTCTACCGACTATCCGTTGACCGGATCCTCGGGACCGTTCCCGTCCCTCATCCCCCTCCTATCGCACCAACGTGCGCACGTGCCTTCGGGCTATGACTCGTTCTGACTCGTGCCACCAATGTGGCTTTCCTTATCTTGTCTTATCTTTCCTCTGACTCATGTGTGCTGCGCATTGTATCATTTACTGTTGGCTCGTTCCAACGTTTCTTGGTCTCATTCCGCATTCGACCTCACATCACTAATTAGGCTCTGCTACCAGCATACCTATACCCTTTCCATTTCCCCCTTGCCCTTACCTACAGTACGGTAGCCCTGCCCTTAACCCTTTCCACTTAGTATAAGTAGTCGGTCACCCTGTACTAGATTCCCTAACTTGAATCTACTCAATCTTCCCTCAAACATACTTCCCTCTGAAGCCCCCTCAGCTTCAGTCTCTAGTATCTTTTCTTAGGTGCTCATCGCGCCTAAGTCTACCTCGATCGACTACTCATCGTTCGGACAAGACTGTCCTTACTTTGAGAACGTCAGTAACTTCGAAGACAGCCGTCTTAGAAGTCACGTGACACGCACGTCTCTGATATCTGCCGACTCGTCGTCACCAGTCTCAGTCGCTACACCAGACCCTTCTGGTTACGTCACGAACGTTAGTGGACAACGCCCCTCTTAGGGCTCCACATAACAGATCTATTTGAGTGCGTAACAATTCCCTTTTAACAGTTTTCTTTGGCTACGCAAGGACGGCTCTGTGCCTACTCGCGCATGGTTTATTAGCCGCTTAAGCATGCTGTTTCCTGATTCCATATCGGGACACTCGTTGTGTGCCAGCAGAGCCACTTCTTTAGTGGCAGCCAGAGTATTGGCCGATCGTATTCAAGCTATGGGAGGTTGGAGCAGTGACTCCTTTCATATTTACATCCGAAAAAATCCAGCATTATTACATGCACTTCTCTTCAATGGACGCTCCATTCATGATCGTGCAGTACCTTTTCATTCTATTTAATATATTTCTACTTACTATTTCTACTTCTTTCCACACCTTCTGTTCCCTCCCTCCCTCCCCATATAGCTGGAGTTATAGCATTTGTAGTGTCGGTCGAGTTTGGGCATGTTTGGTCCTGGAAATCGGTCCGGAGTAGAGAGTGGCGTGGGAATAGTCTGTAGGAGAGGAAGCGGGGGTTGCCGGATAATTGATAGGACGGAACGGAAGGTACTTGCCCGAGCCTCTTAGGTAGATAATCCTACTAAGGACGTCGTGTATTTGGGGCAGGATCTATTGCTGGTGTCGGGGGAAACGACTAATTTGATAGTGCCATTGGCGAGCCACAACTATACATATTGGGAAGGTCAGGTGTTACCTCACGAGT